GGCCTGAGTGGTCTCTGGGGGAGATCTTTCAAGGGTGTGATTACAGTCCCATAGCTGTACTGTTTCTGGATGATTTAGGTCTCAATATAGCTCCTAATTTATCACAATTTCATTCTGAATTCTATTAAGTAAAAAATCGGTTTTAAGAGAACAACCTAGTATTTTGTTCACAAACCAAGAAAATTTAGCATTTCTGTATCTTGCAAACTAAGGAAAGCAAAATTTAGGTCACAATTAATTTAGTTAATTTTGATATTCTGTTGATGCTAAACTGATAGGAATTCCTAAAACAGGGTTGCATTTCCAGTAGTATAAGCTCTATTTTTACCAGATCTTTATAAATTATTAGAAGAATCTGAATTGTATTACCTTTATCATACTCACCCTCTCATACCCTGTCCTGCCAATCTCTATAAAGTAATATACAGGTCCTTGCTACCCAAAGTGCAATACAGGGACCAACAGAATCGGGATCATCTGGCAATATCTTAGAAACGCAGAGCTTCAAGCCCCACCCCAGACTTACTGAATCAAAAGTACCCAGGAAATTAATGTACACATTTAAGAGTTGCTGACATAGATAACTCTTGATTGGCCATGTTAATAGGAATAAAAAGAGAGAAGACAAAATGCTTTATTTTACACAAACTTTTTTTATTGAGATACAATTGATACATAACATTATATTAGTTCTGGGCATACATTGTAATGATTCAGTTGTATATCATGTGAAATGATCACCACAATAAGCCTCGTTAACATCCAACACCATTCAGAGTTACACATTTTTTCTTGTGGTGAGAACTTTTAAGATCTACTTTCTCAACAACTTTCAAATACATGATACAATATTACTAACTGTTAGTAAATATTGCTATAGTCACCATGCTGTACACATCTCCATGACTTACTTATTTTTTAACTGGAAGTTTGTATACTTTTTGACCATGTGTATAGAACATAACATCTTGATTCCATTCTTGTCAATACTTTCAAGAACCGCTAAGTTACTATCCATGTGGCTGGCCCTCTCACTCACTAGTAGAGATCAGTGAATTTTCTAAAAGGAGAAGGAATGGACAATTCATAAATCACATGGATAGACTGAACCGCTCATGATGCTTTGATATCTTGGCCAAATCCCCTGCATGAGGAAGAAGCCGACATGGAGGCACTGAAAGGTATAAGAAGGGCCTGGGGGTGGGAGCTGCAAGGGCAGCAAAGAGGCATTTCAGCCTGACCAGTGATATATTGATACATTGATAAATTTGGTACATTGACATATTGATACTAATCAATATGTAATATATGGAGATGTTTGATACAGTGACTAGATAGGTGCTCTGCTTCTTACCCTCTGGATATAGAAAGATGTGTCATTTCAAGAAAGAAAAAACGTGGTCCAATTTCAGATAAAAGGAATGCTTTTAAAACTACAGCCAGTCTCGGGAATAAACTCCAAAAATGTTATCTCCACCAGCATTATGTCACTTGTCTGCAAAGGTGGAGAAAGGCACCCAGAGGGACCAGTTCTGCATAAGCACATGATGGGCAAAGTCTGGAGATGACATTTCCTCTTCCAAGTTCGGGACCCCTGGTCAGAGGGTTATTTACACGTCAGTCGCAGCATGTTGGTCAATGTTCCAGGCTGTCAACTCGGCACCGCCCTGCTCTTCTTTAACAAGCGCCATCAGAGCTCAAGCTACACGGAGCTTTGAAAGGTTAGTCAAAGACCACATTGTGTTCCTCTAGCTGCAGGAGAGGCTGCACTAATTTGGATTGTGACTTGGCTTGTCTTCTCCCCACTCTGCCTGAGGTCTGAGCTGGGTTTGTGTCAATCAGTGGTGTCACATCATTCAAGCCTTGAAAGATGATGGCCCTCTCAACCCTTGAAGTAGCTTTTAGGATACATTTTAGTAAGATATTTGGGCAGTGTTATGTGATTCTACCCACTCAATACCAATAGCAGTCACCATGACACCTTTTTGCAGACTATGGAAGGCATGTATCTTATCCAGTGGTTTAAACTATACACTGGTTTATGGAAGGAGTATTAGATTTGGAGCTAGAAGGGCAGGCTTGAGTCCTAACTTTCCACTTCTTTGTGCCTCAGTTTGCTTATCTATAAAATTAGCATGTTATCTATCATTAAAATAATGCACATGAGATCATTTTGCAAACTATAAAATGGTACTATACAAGTTAAGTGGAGCCACATCTGAACCAAAGATCAAATCCCACGTAATCAGTGCTGCATGTAACAGGATATAGGTCATGGTCAGACAATTCAAATTCAAACATTATATATTTTTTAAAAAGCTAGAATTACCAAGGATCTTTAGAATCAGGGATTACTTTATGATGATGTTTGCTTTAGCAGCAAACAATAATTAGGTTTCCACTAAGTATGAATGGTTTCCAGTTAGAAATGATCATTAATTGCCAAATAAAATATTTTTTGAGCTATTGAAACAATGAGCACAGGTAAACAGTATCTTTTTTAGAGGTAATGGCTGGAACAGGTCATCTCTGTGGTGTACTTACCTGGCAGAGGCCCTCTCTCTCCTTTTTACTCCTTTATATGGTAATTTCTCCCATTCTCTTGGTTTTAGATGATGGCAGTAAATAAATAAATAAATAAATAAATAAATAAATAAATAAATAAATAAATAAATAAATAAAATCATTTTTTAAAATTCTCTTTTTTTATCTTCTTGAGTAATGATTATTTTGGGGTCTCTTTTTTTCTGATCCTTGTTTCACTGACTTTTATTGCCAGATGTTCTGCCTTCATGAATCTTTCCCCAACTCTGGTATCTGCCAAATCAAAAGTAGAATTTCTTGAAATTTCTTATTGTATTAGTAAAGTGTATAAAGGATGATTCCTCCTTATTGTCTGACCCTTTTCTTCTGAACTTCTAAAGGCAACTTGGAATATTTTGCTTTTTAAAAAAGAGGTGATAGGATAGAAGAAAGTAGACTCTTTTTAACATTGGAAGTATGGAAATATAATAGAGGAAAATAAGAGCATTATTCTCATCTTTAATGAATCAACTCTCTGCTAGCAAGAGTGCTTTGTGTATTACAGAGGGTATTTTTAATTCCTTAGAGGAAAGACTTGTCTTTGGAAGGAGAGTAGTATTAGGGCCCAAGATAATTTGTCTTTGACACAACCTGCATTCACATGCTTGATGGCATTGGTGGGGATGAATGAGGGAAGGCTGATGAGCGGAAATCCAGGGAAGTGATCCGAGCATCTCTTGTGCCAAACAAGTGCCATCATGACTTTGCTTGGCATATTATTCTATAAAAAATCTCAAGTTTTCTAAGTTTTTTTTATTCTTCATAAATTCATTGTAAACATGCAACTTGTAACCTTTTGATTCAGGTTTCATTCATGCAGCTTGTGCAGAAAGACCTTAACCACCAATTCTGTTAGTTCTCAGAAGGACCAAAGTTTTGGCATCCAGATGGTAAGTGGCTGGCTAATGAATATATAAGGCTTGCTTAATAGCTGTATAGCTCTTTAGTAATATTCCTCTGGGATGCTCAGGATCTCCTGGGGATTGCTAAACATTCAGTTAAACTGTTTTCTTACAATGTGGACAGATCTTTCAGTTTTTTTAGAAAATAAAATTTGCCAAGAACATCAGCATTTGTTCTTTTTTGGTCACAGATGAAAAGAACCAGAGTCTCAGCCACAAAGGGTAGCTTGGGAGTAGTCAGGAGGACTAGAGACTAATGAATTTCAGATATCTGCAACCCAGAGAGAGAGACTGTGATTTTCCACACTAGCTAAAGATTTCCCACTCCTTCCTAATCAAATTGGGTAGCAATTAAAATATTATTGTTAGGATGGAATGTGTTTGCTCTCATTTGTACTTTGAGTAGATAACGATGTAGTTCTGATTTTCATGTCCATTTTTAGTTATTGCTTTAGAATGCATTCATCATAGCTATTAATGGTATAGATGACTAACCCTAAGAGAAATTAATTTAGAATCAATTGTGCATGTATGTGTTTATGATTCAAATCTCATGAAAACTGGAAATAAGTGCTGCCTGCCCCAAGACAAAATAGCACCAACCAAACAGAAAACAAGTATTCTGATGAAAATAAAAAAATAGGCCTAAGAAATTGAATAATAATAATAATAATGACCATTTTTGAACACGTAACTTCATAGTTTATGATTCACATTTTTAATTTCTAATCTTTGTAGTAACTCAGCAAGAGGTATTATGTTGCCCTTTTTCATAGGATGAAAATAAGGCTCTGAAGGTTGAACAAGTGACCCATTTCACTTAGTTATTCATTTCTCTCTGATCTCAAAGCCCATGTTCTTTCCACTATGCTAACTATATTGCTGGTCTCAAATATTTTCTTTTTAAAGTAATTTATTTTCAAAGTTTGCTTCCAAAATCAATCTGCTTGAGAATTAAAAGTTAATTTGACAGTGTGAGGTAATAGGGTATAAAGGTTATTGGAAAGTGAAGGAAATATTAAGTTAAATGGGAAAACACAAATGAAACAGATGCAAGTTTTATAGTGACTGGAATTAAAAAACAAAAAGCATCCCCATTACCTGGGTCTCTCTCTGGACATATGCACACTCCCAGTATCCACATTGGAACTGCCAATTCTTTTGATGGCTCTGCCCATTTCACTACTACTGGGCCACAACTCTTAATCAAAGTCACTTCAAAGACCCCAAACAGATTGATTCACATGTGAATGCTACTCAAACTGTCTTCCAAAGGAGGAGGAATTCTGGTCTTATGTTCCTTTGTACCTACTATTGCTCATTTACCAGTATTTACTTTGCATGGCCTATGGCTGAACCATGGAAATTGGAAAACAAACTCCTATTCAGCAAGTCATGTCAAAGGTGACTGCAGAGCCAGAGAGTTGCCTGTGGGACAGACATTCCTTCTGATCAGGAGGCCTCTTCTGCAGTGCTGCCGTCTCCACAGTTACATACCTGTCCACGGAAGCCTTTCGTTTATCTTGTCTATGTGGGAAGTCCTAGACGATGCCATCAATCTGAGAGATGAGAGAGATGCCCATTTGACAGTCCAACAATGGTTGTAGGGGGAGAAAAAGAGAGAGAGAGAGAGAGAAAGTAAAAGAAAATTAGCCAAATCCTGAATAAAGTTCTTTTGAATTGTACTATTATGGTCTTAGAGAAGGCACAATAGGCACTCAGTTGAGATGCACACTTTGTGCTCTGTCACACGAGGGTTTTCACTTAAGAAATATAAAATAGGTACTGCCCAAGGACTCCGAAAAGGGGGACAGGCTGTAACCACATTCTTGAGTTTTCGTATGGGGGAAACTCAGACTCCCCCAGAACAATGCAGCTGCAGCACGCATCGCTGCCCAAAGTCATTTATGAGCACCATATTTCCTGCTGGGTATTCTGATGGCAGAGTCGGTAAAGGGGTGCAGAGTGTGTCATATTTGAACGATTATTGAATTCTGTGGTTCCCTAACCAGAGCTTCTGGTGTTATTTCTAGTCTAGATTGTATCTCTAAAAATGTTAAATTTGGATTCTTTCAAGATATATTCAAACATTTTAAAGTTCTTTTGATGTGAGATTCAAGAACTCAGGTTGAATTATATCTTTCTCTCTCTCTTTTTAACCTGGAAAAAATACTTTGCATGTGCATTTCTTTCTCTATGGTGTTGAAAGTTTCAATTGTGAGAATGCGTGTGAAAATGCCTTGGAAAATATAACAAGCTTTTCATCCTCACAACCTCACCATCACCATCATCATTGCTAACAGAATTCTTTGAAAGCCTAGCTGAATGCTGTGTCTAGGATGGAAGCTGAATCCCCTTCATGTCACTTGAATTGAAATAAAGACGAAGCTTTTCTTACGGGACAGTCCTTGACAAAGGGATTTGTTGTCAAACTCACAACACTCCAGCCAGCTGACCTTTAGGGCAAGGTGCAAAGTCCATCTGTTTACACAGACTTTGACTCCATGGGGGTTAATTTGAGAAGAAATTTCTCAGACATGATATGGAAGAGATGTGAATGTGAATGTTAATGTTTAGTTAGTACTGTTTTTTTCTGTCTAACATTATATTTTATAGATGTTCTAAATGCCTCACAAAAATAGAACAACATATTCATTTAAAACATCACAGAATGTTATTTACAAGTCTAAATGACTAAATTATGATCAACAAAAGGGTAAAAATTTAAAATACAGATTGAAAATAAAAATTTAAATACATTGTGACTGGACTAGTGCATTGTGTTTTTAAACAATTGTTCTCATCACCATTCAGATCTCAATAAAGTTGAAAGAAAAGCAAGTGAAGAGCTAAAAATAAGAAGTATCCATTAAGAGGTCCTGTGGATACCCCAATGTCAATTACAGTGATCGTAAGTATCTTCTGCTGCAGAATATCCCCCCACCCTCAGAGAAGTGTTATTGCACAAGTCTCTGCAAGGCTATCTCCATGCACATGGAATCCTTTGACTTATATTCTGTACCTCCTGCGAAGACCACAAAATGCTTCACATCATGACCTCATCCGTCGTGGTTATGTCACTCTGGGGTGGTGTGTACGGGCCTGAGGAAAGGGGAAGGGGTAGGTAAGTCATTAGATAGCCCATTCTCACTTACTGCCTATTCTCCACACCTTCCCTTCCACCCAAGGATCTGTTTCCTAGGATTTCCTCATTGGCCATGAAGAAATACTAGCTTTAAAATATTCCCTTGTTACATCATTAGCTTAAAACTTAAGTAAGCAGTACACATTTTCACAGAATTGGTGAGAAAATCTAGCCAAGGACATAACTTTCCATCTATCAGCCTAATTTTTAATTCACCAAATTATATCAGCACATGAACATGTATCTATGTGTGTCTGTGTGTGGGAGCAGGAGATAGGGTGTCGTTGTGATAAAGTAACTATTGGTATATAGAACTGGGATAAATAATATGGGTCCCAATAATATTATAGGCCTTAAAATGGCTCTATTCAACCTCAGGCCTTGGTTTTTAATTTGCATTTCTCTCCTCTGTAAAACAAAACTGAGCACTCAGCTACAATTGATACCTGCTGGAATTACCTTGTTCGGTAATAACTAATGAAAATACAGTGTGGGGCAAAAGTAGGTTTACAGTTGTTCATATGGAAAATAATACAATAATTAATAAATAATACAAGAACAAACTCCTTGTTTTGTGTACTCACAACTGTAAACCTACTTTTGCCCCGCCCCGTATTTGACATTGGTGGGCATTCCCACCATGCCAGTGTAACTCTAAGCACTTGACATGCATTGCTTCATCTAAACCTCCTCAGTACTATATGGGGCATTTGCTATTGTTATCTTCACCTTGCAGATGAGGAAACTTGACCTAAGAGCTGAAGTGGCTTGTTTGGGGGTCACCTAGCCAGCAAGTGGAGATCTGGAGCTGACTCCAGAGCCTGAATTATTCATCACTGTGCCCTGCTGGTTTATCAATGCAACTTGCACCCACTGGCAACCCAATGGACTGGGTGGACCTCAACACCCACTTCATTGGAGAGATGCTTTGTCTGAATTAATGGGGACCACTTATCAAAGGAACGGCTTGAGACATAGCTAGGCACAAACTAATGTCTGACCAAATGTGGACTAACCAAGGAAACGTCTGCCCAAAGGAAGCCTGTTTGGATGTGCAAAGATCATTTGTTATTTGCACAATGGTCATTTGTGTACAAATGGAGGCTGATATAAACTTAAATATTTTGCCCTCCAGTGGAACAGGTTGAGTGACCTCTTTGATATCTGGTTCACAGTGTGAATTTGTCTTTCAAATCTCCACCTCCCAGAGGTCAGGGTCAGAATTGTGAGGAGCTCCAGAGGAGTGGTTTGGAGAGTAGCGAGGTTTCAGTGTATCTGCATTTTCAGTCTGTGTTTGAGTCCTGAATGTGATTATCTCCCACTGGTGAAGTGCTTGTCTCTAAGTGAATCAGACTGGAGCCTGGAATTTGTCTCTCTCAAACCCTTTGACATTGCACGTGACAGAGCGCAAGGCTACCCCAGGCTGCAACAGGTGCAGCGTGGGGAAGAGCACCGTGCCACAGATAACTGGCACGCATCTGTCTGGCGGATTTAATTAGACATAGTGCCCATTAACAATTTCTGCAGATGTTCACATCAAATCAGCTGAGCTAATTTTCTCACACTCTTCTGTTTGGCCTATTTTACTCTTTCCCAAGGGTATCTACTCTCACCTTAATCTTAAAATGCCTACATGCAAGCAGACTTCCTTCTGCTTCTAGAATACAGAGACTTGATTTGCTTTGTGATGTTGAAGAGATACACTTGCTAGCTGATGTTTAGTTTTTACTATGAAATGCATATTATTTGTGGTTAAGGACTTTTCCTGGAGGGTGGGGAAACAGTGGCTGTGTCTCTGACACAGAGAGTGTGCACACTGGTTTCTCTGAGACACACTGGCCCCCTCAATCAAATAACTAAAAGGAACAGTGGCTGCCTTTAACTGTCCTGCAGAAGCACTTTGTGAATTCAAGTGCTTGTAGTCCTGGAAACTAACCCTTTTTTTCTAAAAAAAATGCAACTTGTTCTCCAAGGGTGTCCTAGAGTATGTCTATGTAGCTGAATGTGCCGGATTAAAAACCAAGCACATTGTGGAGAGACTTGAACCAGGAGTGAGATCTGGGTGCTGGCCTCATTCTCATCTCCAACTAGCTGGACAACCTTGACAAGTCACTTCACCCCTCTTGGCCTAGTTTATTCATGTATAAAGCAATGAGGTAGGAGGTTTTATCTTAAGGTTCTTTAGAATTCAAATATTCTGCAATTTTAAAAGATAAATGACATTGTTTCTCTCTGCCCCGCAGGCATAGCTCATGGACACGCAACATGATTCATGAGCTTTATGTGGATCCTTTCCATTCAAGGTTCCCAACATCACTGACAGGTGTATTAGTCTCATTTTACAAAACTTACTCCCATGAGCAGATTTTAAAATGCCTCTAAGATAATAAAGGGACCGATAATAGCTCAGTATTGACACAAGCAGAGAGAGGTCTAAAATACGGCATGTGTCCACTTTGCTTTCCTTTCCTTTCTGTTACCCTGAGCCTCAACTGCCTCTGTGAAATGGGTATATCTTACCTCTCCAAAGCAGAGATCCCGAGCAAATGAGCTCTTTAGATTAGAGGAAACCCATGCCTACGTGGTTTCCTCTAATCAAGGGTTGGTTATTGGAAAGTCAAAAAAAGCTTCTGTTCAGAAGGAACATTCATTGCCCATCTAGAAATAAGACTATAGATACATAGAAAATACCTGACACAGGCATTTGGGGAAGTTTTAGACTTGATATGAGGCTAGGGAGAAAGAGAGTGTAATACCTGATAAGTTAGCAATAAGGTAACTTATATAGATTTGAAGCAAACCTAAAATCTGCCATGAATAGCCTCTGTGTTAAATACCATGTAGATATATATTTTAGTTTCTTTCTTTTGCCTGTTTATGTGTTAGTTTCTCACTTTCATATTACTACAATTTCAAGATGACACAACATTTTCTAATTACTTTAGAGTTTGGAGGTCAGACTTTTTGATGTCTCAAATAAAAGATCACTCCTAGGCCCTCCTGACATAACCATTTTCCCATAAATTACCTAAGAGCATGCATGAGAACCAGGCTTCACATTTCAAGCCCAGACTTGGACCCAGTAGATGGCGTTGACAGATGTAACACATTAACAGGACAAATGTGTTTTTATTTTGCATGAATAAATATGCACATTGCACTGAATCTAGTAAATGGATTCCCAAAGCCCTGTGCAAATCATCAGAATTAAAAGAGTAAAAATATGTTAGACTAGTCAACAGAAGTAAGTGAGCACTATCAGTTCAGTAGTACTGATGCAATTCAAGAGATCTATATTGGAAAGTCATGTCACTCTCCATGATAAAAAAAAAAAACCTTCAATCCTAAATCCCTGCCATATGCAAAACAGAATTGGTTAAGAGATTTGTGAGTAAATTTCATCTTCCTTTCATGTGTGTTAGCAATGGTTGGTTACAGGATGGAACAATAAAAAAGTGACTTTTATCAGCATTATTTTTCTAACCATTTGATTTTTTTGGAGACTTTGCAAACCTTTTATCTTTTTCCCCCCTTGTATAAATAAGTGTCATAGGGCAGAGTTATCATTATAGCACTTATTAGGCTGATTATTATCATTTTTAGCAACTATATATTAGCTTATTCTGAAAAGAAATTCCTAAGCCTAAGAAGGTATTAAAAACATCCAACTATATATACCCAAGTGCAGTGTCTTATTACCCATCTTTAAAGATGAATATGTTCTATACAAGCTAATTATACAATAATGTAAACTTCACCACTTACACAAAAAGCCATTTTCTTCCATATTTTTCATGGAAATTTGCTTTGAATATACATTTTATGTTTCTGTCTTATAAAGTAGAGGATATTGAACATAGTGATATCATTTAAACTTGTCTTGGTGACTGAAAGTTTTCTCTAGAGATAAGGGTACTTTTTAAAGTTCAGGATTATAATTTTATCCTGAATTTCCTCTTCTTCTGAGCAGAATATCAGTTGTCACATCACCTGTCCCTGAACAGTTTTCACCCTTCAGATTCCCTTCTTCTTCCATGTTAGTTATTATTTGGCTGAAAATGCACCCAAACTAAGAGACAATAAGGCTTGGAGTGAGTTCCTAATGAACTAACATATGTAGCTCTAAGGTAAAGGATTTGTGACAGAGACTTGGGAACAGTGGCATCTTTTACTTTCTTTGGTACTGTCCTGGGGCACAGGGTTTCCTTAAATCTGACCCTAGAGGAGTGGAATGTTAATGCAATAGTTTTCATGTTCCTTAAAGATTATAATCCAGTGTTTGCCAAATGGCTGAAAAATAAAAATCCACACTATGAATGTGTAGCCTCTGTGGCTCACATATTTTATGGACTGCTTAAAGAAAGCATCCCTTCTTTATCTCAAACTCCTCCAGTATGAATCCCTAATTCCCATCAAAGCCGTACCAGAGAGGAGGCTGTCTTTTCCAGGCTTCTTGATGATCTGACAATCTCTGCCCCAACCTCCACTCCCCAGGCATTTTTGTTTTCATGCTCCACAGTATCGCTCTACAAAGCGAGCCACAAAATGGGGCTGGGAACGCTTTTGGCAAAGAATGCCCCTGTTCTGTGGGATATCCCGGAGGTGTCCCAGAATGAGGCCACAGGCGTCCTTAGGATGCTGACCCGACCCTGGGAACTCTGGAGGTTGACACAGGGGTCGAGAACCGATGTCCCTTGGATGCCTGCAGTGCTGTTATATGACCCCACCCCACTGGGCAGCTGTCAGCATCACAGCGGACATTCGTTTTGACTAGAAATCGTGCCTTATTGTGAGAGGCCACACTGGTATGAAAGGAACATTTTCATAAAAAGATCCATTGGAAATCTGCTTGGGAAATTATGGACCTGCTCAATGTGTATGCTCCAGGTTTTCCTTCCTCAAATTTACTTTCTTACCTTTCTATAGGTTGAGTCAAAAGATAATAAATGACCTTCCCTTTCTGCCACAGACGAGGGACATCACAGGTGGTTCATCTTCCACTCCTCCTCCCTCCATATAAAACACAGAAGGCATTGTCGAGGTCATTTCAGCAAAGTTAGTGTCATCTCCACTCTGCAAAAGAAGAACTGCTTCTTCTTAATTTGTGCTGGGCACTGTGCCTTAAGCCTCATGCACACCAAAGAGTGACATACCTTAGGCGGAAAGAAATGGATACCTTGGAAGTTCTTTTGGTGTCTTTCTTTTCTTCCTTACCAGGCTCCTTTATCTATTTTCTTTTAACTTCTGGCTTATGAAGTGTTATATGTGTAGGCATCGTGGAAGTATGTATTGCCATGCTTCCCTGGCAATTCGAAAGAGAAAGGGCATGTGCCCGAAAGAATGGAGGGGGTATCTCACACCTGCTTAATTCCTCACCTGGGCAGGCCCACCCACAGACAACGCGTGGGAATTCAGGAAGGGTCTCCTCCTCTGTTTAAGCAACAAGAAGGGTCTTAGGAAGATGGGGTTCCCTCGTGTAAGGTGCGGGGAGATCCAAACTGCTCTCTGGGGCATTGGCGGGGGAGAGATGCTCAGAAAAGACTAATTTTGAGAAGTAAAGGCTCTCACTCTGAACCTCGAGCTGCCTTCATTTGATCTCGGGCCATCGGCCCCAGGTGTCCGCGGGAGGGAGAATGCCCAGCCTTCTAGGTTCCAAGGCTCCACAGAGATGAACTGGATATTGCATATGAGGTCCCCACACACCTCTGGGACCTGTTACCCAAACCTTGATCCCCTCACTCAGCTAACCCCAACCATGATTTTGGTCTCTATTCCGTGCCTAATTTGTTCAAAGGAAAGAACTTTCTTTTTCTGCTCTAAACAATTGGGCTTTGTCACAGGTTTGAGAAATCTCTAAAAATCTGGAGAACTCAACTTAGAGTCAAAATGAGCAGCAAAGGCCATAAAATAAGAACCTGACTCCCTTTATTAAGATTAAATAAATATGTAATCAAATAAGTGTCTTATTGGTAATGAGGGAGTAATAAAAATATGTACTTAAACACACATAGGTTGCCCTTTCATGATTCTTATAACTTTGCATTTAGCCTTTTAATTTTTTCAATTCACTCTATCACACATATTTTATACAAATTATTATCAGGTCAGACACACCACGAAGTATAAAATATTTTTGTATTGGTCTTTGGTAAGTTAATAATATTTGAGGTCATATTGTATTAATTTGCATAGAGATGTTTCAAAAATACCTAATGTATTCACTACTGTACATTACTACATATTTCTTATAGCTAAGTCTTCACCAATGGAAAGGTGAGCATGAATGCACTTCACAATCACCTCAGTTTAACAAAATTAACAGCTGGTTAAAGCTATCTCTTAAAGTAGCCTTAAAAATACAATCATTGCCATAATTGCTTAATTTTAAACCTTCAGACATTTGTGTTCATGGGTCAAGATTGAGTTTCTCAATCATTTCACAATATATGTATGTCAAGTCATTATGCTTAAATTTTTGCAGTGTTGTATGTCAATTACAACTCAATAAAACTGGAAAAAAAGTTTTCTAAGTTTTTTTAGAGTAGACAACCTAAGATCACAAGCAACTCTCTGCATACAAAATCATATTAAGTGAAATCTTAGTAAAAATAACACCTAAATAATACCAATTTAAAAATTCTGTGCATATTTCTCCTCCCCCCTTCTATCACCACAATTTTGTTAATAGTTTCTTTAATTTCTCTCTGTAGTTATCTATAAGAAACTCAGGTAAAGGTGATAAAGAGAGGACCTATTCTCAGTGAAGACATAGAAGTTATAACTTAATAAAGTAAAGATTTAAAAATCTTTTTTTAGCATGTTATAACTCAAGCAATCAGGATATATGATCAGGCACCTTTAACATAAAAAAATAACATTAATTTTAGAAATGTTTAACTTTGGGGATCTGAAAAGATAGCCTACAAGAAAGTAGCATAAAGAGCATTTTATTGGTATATGAAGGACTCCGAGACAGCACATATTATTGCATAAACACACTTTTTAGTTAACATAGGTGTCTTAGTCATATTCTTAACTTTAAGAGACAATAGACTATATGGACACTAGAAGTGTGTAACTGTGTTGTCTTCTCAAATTCTTATTGTTTTTGGAGCGATGAAAATAACAGTAGCTGAGAGAGGAGTTAAATAAAATAGTAAAATATGGGGGGAGCTTTCAAAATAGTAGATCTTTTTTATTCTCTTTTTTTTCCCCCCTTCTTGAATGGTGTCAAGGCACAAAGGCTCTGCGGGCTTCACTCAGTAGATGCTCAGCCAGGGATCACCCCTGCTCTGGGGCCTTTCACTGCTGGGAGGGCCCCAAACTCTCCCCACTCCATTCTGCTCCCCCCAGCACCCCTCCCTTAGTCTCATTCCCAAATGCAGTGTGAGATCAAGTGTGACCTCTGGCTGCTCCGCCTTCAGAGCTGGACCAGCCTGTTTAGTGACCAGCTCAGTTAAGGCCCAGCAGGCCCATAAAATAGACACACACATCTTTAAAGGCAAGATGGCATAAAATGCACAATTATCACTTATCAAAATGAAAATAACATGGAGCAAAGGGCTTTGTTAACTTTAGAGTACTTGATAAATATGAGGAATTGTTTACTCTATCAACATACGCACATCTTGTATCTGCATGGTTCAGGGAAGCTGCTGATCATAACTCATCAGAAGAAAGTGTCACAAATACAGTGAAACTCACCATTTGATGAAAAGGGAATTTACCAGAATATAAAAAGCAAGAAACCCAGTGTGAACGTGGAGAATAATATAGCACTCGGATTACATTCTGCCTCTTAGCTCTGCATTGATACAAAAAAGACTCAAGTGCCTTGTTCCTCTGGGTTACTTACACATACAGATAACATTTTGCAGCTTTTTCAAGGAAAGGAACTTTATTATTCCATTCCCAGTTCAGAATTTGAAGATGCACAGTCAGCCTGGAAGCCAGGGCTTATATCACATCATTGGCCATTGAGAAAACCAACAGCTGACCGTCGCAATCATTTGTATGAAAGTGCACTGGACTGTAGAGTGCCTAGTGTCCATTATTAATTCATGGCCAGCGCCGTCCGAGGCACTTGGCCTTTGGCCTCTAGCCTCACAGCACAGCAGGCAGTGAGTTGAAGCAACACTGCTTGCCCCGCTCTTCACTCTCTTCGCTGCTGTTTGCGCGTGTTAAGGTCTGCATTATTTCCTGAGCATGGCCCTTCTGTCTTTGCACAGCTCTACCGGCACAGCACCTCAACTCCAAAGACTAGCTAAGGGCCACCTTCTGAAGTTGGCGTCAATGATGCCACCTTGTGGGCACTAACCCTTTTCAGAAAATAACAGCTCATTACGGAGAGCGGTCTGCCAGCCTTCTAGGCCTGGGAAACGTGCTCCTGGGGCCTTGCAAAGTTATTTCTGCTGCCCAGCTTCCTCTCGCTCCCGCGGCACCGCCCCGACTGGTGGCTCCCGAAGGTGGCACGCAGCCCGGAGGCCGGCGGCCTCCCTCGGAGCTGGCAGTGCAGCCTGACCCGGCCCTGCCCGGCCGCTTCCAGGAGGCCTCGCTGTGGTCAGCGGAGCCGGCGGAGGGCTGGGGCGAGGCGGCGCCGCCGAACGAGCAGATGTGTCTGAAGCCTGCCCCGGCTCAGCTGCTGACTTCCCGAAATCGGCGAAAGATTTCTGTTGCTAATTATAGACTTGTTTCTAATTTATTCATTCTTCCCTTCATTAGAAAAAGGTGGGGATGTGGTTGCAGATTAAAATCCAGTGTTACTTTAGGAGAGATGTCATCATCTTTAGGGATTTTTGCAAATCACAATTTTGACTTTCTCAGGTTAGATGGGCAAAACACACAACATACCGAACATGCACACACAACACACCAAACACACACACACACACACACACACACACTATTTACAGTTATACCAAATTCCAGAGCTCAACACAATAAAAAAACCGAATGTACTTTGGTTGGAATTGGGTGTTCATCATAACTCAAAAGTTGTGAGAAAATAAACTGGAGTTGCCTGGGATATATGTGTTCATCAGACAATTACTACTGAAATGAGGGACTACAGAGGAAATTGGATGAGTAGCCAGGCCACACTGCTGTAGTTAATTGTTGGAAGCATTTGATTTTTACAGTTGGATATTGTTCGGACCATGGGGATTTTCTTCTGTGACTTTGGGGGGAAAAAAGAAACAACAAACCTACAAAGCTTTCTGGAGTGGGGTGGTAAAGGGGCTGGGGGATTTTCCTCTAAGGATTCACTGGCTTGCCTGTGGGACTGCTTTACATAGATTCATGTTTTTTGTAGCTGTTGCCACCTGCCCCATCAAAATGAAAATTCCCTGTCAATTTGCCTTGAAAAATAAAAGCACAGGTTTCCTGTGTCTCTCGGATGGGTTTAGCCATAGAAATACATGCGAAAAAGGACAAGTGTAATTCACTCTTAGCCATTGACTTTCCTCTTGCATTAAGGATTTTAGAATGGGCCCTAAATGTACCTTCCCAAGTTCACTGCAGGGCTCCAAGTCCAGAGACAGCAGATGGTATGCATGCATTCATAGGAGGTCCATGTTGAATCAGGAATATTTTCAAGTATTATCATAAAGCTTTTCTCACCATATCTTCCCAGGAATGAAATCTGAGTTGTTTCTTACGAATGAATTTTAAATTTTAACTAGAAACAAATGATTCAAGTAGTATGAGTGATTTTCAATGTGAGCCCTTGAGTTGTTTTGACATTACTGACATTAAAGTCCGGTAGATTCTGATCAAAGTCTACAAAGTCTTTATGCAGTGATGTCAGTTTTAAATCCTGCCGCATAAAGGAAATAAACACATGCTATTGGCAAGAATCCCTCTAGAAATGCCACAGGTGACTGTCCCTGGGTCCCACACAGACCCAGATATACAGAACCTGAACTCAAATGACCACATGGAGACAACTCTAGACCACTTATTTC